AGCCGTTGATACCTTTTACCGGTATGAGAAATAAGATTTTTTTCTGCTAAATGTTTTTAGAGGGTACCGTAGCCCATAATGGACACACAAATTTATCCTCGATTAAGAATCAAAATGTAGATGCTTCGCCAAACCTAAAACTGGTAAGTTACGCTGGTATTCTGTGAGAGCGTGATCCTACCTCGGTCAAGCCAACCTGTACGTGCTGACAATATAGTTGCAAGTCTTGTAAGTCCGAATCGTTCAAAATGCTCACTGTTGCATGATAAGATAAAGTATTTACTTACCTCCTTAATATACATAATTTGATGTCTCTTTAGTATAGGTAATAAACGCGACCATTGATGATGCGGTCCCGGGACCCTGAATTCGTAATATGTAGTTCGAAAAAGGGTCAGGCCATAATCAGATATTCCGTTTTTCTGTGTCAAGAAATTCTTAGCAGCATCCCGGAGCCATGAAATTGTCGGTGCTTTACCCCTCTGACGGTAGGTCAGTAGCTCTTAAAAAGGGCTCTATTACAATTTAATTAATAATTTAAAAAGGTGTCCTGTCGCACGGTTTCTTGCTGGTTCTTCCCAGGACAGTTTTTTTTTTCGTAAAAGCCTAAATAACTTTCATAAGCATTCTTGTCATCAGTGAATAACAATTATTCTATTACATTCTATGCTGTTCTGTTCTGTTCCGTTCTACTCTACTCTGCTCTACTCTACTCTAGTCTACTCTATTCTATTGTATTGTATTTAATTCGATTATGTTATATTATATTTCTACCGCAAGCCATAAAGCATTCTAGTTACCTTTGTAGAGGAAATGGTCAAGCCATGGGACGAAATGAGGTGTGTAGATATCCTTAAGGCGATTATTTTACGTGCATTCTATACAATTATTTATCATCAACGCTTAAAATATTTATATTAACAATTTGATTCGTAATAAAAAATCTTAAACGGATTTTATCGCAAAAATGTTTCTGTTAATGGTAAAAAAGAGCAAATTAAAGAGCACTCTCAGAACATTACGCAGCTGCACAGAATAAAAATAGTACTAACATAATTGCAGTTTCACTTTTCATAATGGTACTATAGATTAAGAACTACATTTTAATGATATTAATATGCTCAAACTCGAATCACGCTTGACCACTTTTTTATTGCTATCAATTATTTTATCACGCAGGTGCTCGCTCTTATTATGCAAATTTTGTAAATTTCTACGAATTGTTTTTTTTATTATTTAAACGTTTTCCAATAGCAGCTAACATCTCAAACTACTTTATTTTTAAAAATTAGTAATGAAATTTTAGAATATTTCGCATTCATGAAAAACAAAATATGACGCAACATCACATGGCAACAAAATGTTAAATTTAGTATTTTTATGGTCACTGTTTTAAGGACAATTCAAATATGTCATGTAAAGTAAGTTAACTTTTCCTTTTTTTTTTTTTTTTTTTCTTTTTTTTTTTTCTTTTTTTTTTTTTAATTTTTGGTCCTTTTTTTTTTTTTTTAGGTTTTCTTTTTTTTTTTTTTTTTTTATTATAATTTTATTATATTTGGCAACCTTACAAATATGTTAAATGGTATAACTATACATATGTAGGTAGAGAATGCCTAAAGGCATTAAATTCTCCTATTTTACACTTTCAATATTTTTTAAAATAAATGAATAAATAAAATTTAAGTTTTAAGTAAAGTCAGTATTAGTGGTTTTAAATTCGTATGTTATATATTATATTTTGTTTGACTCTTTTTAAAAGTATTTAAAACGTATAAATAAATAAATGAATTTATTCACAAGAAATATGGTACAAAGATGTTCTTATAAAATAATAATGATTCACATATTTCACCAATTTTGGTATATGAAAACTTATTTAATGATTAACTTATGGTTACAATATACAAAATTTAAGTAAAATTAAACATGCATCACTTTACAATTTTAATATTAATCCTTTAAAACACAATCAGATAAGAAACAGAGTTTTACAGTCAATAGAAACGTTCTTTTACTTTTAACAGTTCATTTACCGAATAAAATTGTTTTTCTAAAAGCCACTTTAATAAATTACGTCTAAATCGAGTATAATCTAATTGCCTTATTTCATTTGGGATTTTATTAAACACTTGAATAGCCATCACATAGCAATTTTTTGAGTACAGGCTAGTTTTTAATGAAGGTAAAATAATGATTTCTTATATTTACGCGAACACTACACATTGATTAAAACTACTTTTACGGATTTTATCGCGTTTATTTTACTATTATTTTTATTCCCGACGTTTCGGGCGCTTTCCAGCACCCATGGTACGGGGGACTGAGATTACTGACGTACCGATGTCATTGTTAAACCCGGAGTACCTTCAGCTTTTTTAATTATTGTTTATGGTCCGATCTATGCAAAATGAACTGACTATGTCCTGAGGTCTTGCAGTGGTATGCTTGAGTTTAGTTTTAATTTTATTAATTATAGGATCCCAAGCAGGTGGTAGTACCCAGCCTCCTTCTCTATTCTTCTATCTTTTAATTGCATAACTTTCTCATACAATTTTGATAATACCTATTGATATTAATGTAATTGGTCTATAGTTATTAATATTATATCTGTCACCTTTTTTATGCAATGGTATAACAACGGATAATTTCAATTCTTTAGGAAAAATTCCCGCTTCAAGCGACTTATTATTGAAAAAACATAATACGTCTACGATTTTTCCTGGACACCTCTTTAAAATTTTTGTTTGTATTTTATCACAGCCAGTAGATTTTGTGTTTTTAATATACATAGCCTTAAATAAATACTAGATTGTTTTCTTAGACTAGTTACGCTTAATTTATCCGCACTATTATGTGATATTCTGTCTTTAATGGAATAGATGAAATGCTGGTTTAATGTTGCAGCTAGTTCAATGGGATTTAGTATATTTTGATTATTGACTGTGAGTCTATCAATGAGATTTGGATGTGTCTATTTTCTTTTATTAGGTTCCAAGTGGTTTTAGTTTTATTTTTTGAGTTAAGTACGTATTTGTAATTCATCTGCTTTTGTGCCAGTAAAATAGTTTTTTTTTTTGGATATTTCTATAAAGTGTATATTTAATTTTGTTCTCGTGAGTTTTATTTTTATAATATTTATAGCGAAGTGCACGTTTGGTTCTACAGGAAATTTTTATACCAGTTGTAAGCCATTTTAATTTTTGATCAAAATTATTTACTTTGACTCTATTTATGGGAAAGCACAGCTTATAAATTGTACAAACGTGTCATAAAATTTTGTAAATGCTTTTTCTATGTTGTCCTCCTCATATACGTCCAAGAATAATAATGATTTTAAGTGATTGCAGAAACTGCTAATATTACTTTCCGTGTATTGCCTTCTAAATATATAATAATGCCCAGGAGACTTTGTTGTATCGTTTAATAAAAAACTTAATGTTTGCCCCGTATTTTATATTGTCACTCGATCACAACATTAAGTGATACTTCGTCTTATTAACTGCGGTCTGCACTCGAGGCATAACTTAGTTCTGTTGTTATTGTACCAATAAAATAGAAATCTAAATTTATTAATCTAAGTTTATTTTCTCGTTTTTTTTCTGAATTCTAAATTTTTAACTTCCCAATGGGAAGTTATTGTAATGGGTTCGATTCTGCAAATTGGAAATTTCAACGTATCTCTACGTTTCAAGGTCTTTAGAGTCGAATATATGTATAGTATGGTTTTTAAGATGATGTCCGTGTGTGCACATGTACGTATGTATGTACTTATGTATGTATATGTATGTTCGGATTTAATTTTCGGATCGTGTATCTCGAGAACAAAGAGTGATATTGACATGGGACTAGTTTCATTTAACGCATAATTATGTAACTTAGACCTCATTAAATTTTGAGCATAATCGGTCAAGTCGTTTTTGTGCCGAATGAAAAATTTTATAAAATATTAAAACTTTTTTTTAAAAGTAAAACAAAATTACAAATGAACTTACAGTCTACCTGATGGTAAGTGGTCACTGTAATCCATTGACACATGCAGCTTGGAAAAAGCATAGTAAGTACTCAGACTGACTCCTGGTCAGATAAGGTGTCCTACCACCTAGTAAACTATAATATGCAACGGTGGCGGTTTATGAAAAAAACAAAACATTTTGACAAAATGGTTTTATTTATTTTCTCTAATATGTTATCACATCCGCGACATTATAATATAATTATTTCTATTAAAACTAAAAGTGTCATTTAAATGTGGTCATACAAAATTATTTAAAGACCATTATTCGCCATAAGAAGAACATCCGCATTTTTCACATCCATTACCAAAGCTTCAAGATGCACTGTTATTAAAGCTCCAAACATACTGCGGCATAACTAAAAAATTCCTTGCCCTTTTAAAATCTTAACACGCCGGAGTCCTACTCTATACGCCAGTAATGCATCTTAGGTTTATGTCCTTTGTTTATTCTATTTTACATGATAATATTAAATATTTACTATCACTTTCATACCTTTTTGTCAGTAATATTCGGGGCCACAATTTAACAGTTTCTTCTTAATCTAAGTAATGGTATAAGACCACATAGATAACGGCACAATCGAATCGAAAACAAATATTTTTTTCAGAAACCTTCAAGTGCGCCACAACAATAACTGACCAAAGTTTTTCTTATAAAGCGTTGGTGACAAACGAGCACACAGTCCATCTGATGGTAAGTGGATGATATGGTCCATAAACATCTACATTTAACCTCGATTCAGAATCAAAATTCAGATGCGTTTTCACTCTTGAGGACTAAGATGAAATGCCCCGTTTCCAGTAAAAAAGGTCTCCGGTGCTCTAAACTCATCATATGAAAACAGCAGCTTAAAGCTGCTATTTTACGCTGGTATTCTCTGAGAGCGTGGTCCTTCGCTGAACCAATTCGTGCTACAGCTATAATATAGCTGCAAATTGGCACTACTATGTATACATTCAATAACTGATGCTTATATACTCCAATATGATATCTGACTCTAATATAACTCCAGGTAAAAGCATGGGAAACAGCCAATCAATACGAGAAACCCATTTCCAGCGAACAGATACTGCAGATTCGCCGTCAGAGAAAACCGAATCCAATGAGCAGTATATCAGCATCTCAAACAAAATGGTAATAATGTTATTGTTCTTTTTATTTAACAGCTTACTTAAACTAATTTTTATCGTTTATTTATTCTTTGGTGAAATCATAATGGCAAAATAAGTATTAATAATCTAGTGAAACTCGATTATTATATTAAAATTAAGTACTTACATTTAATGTAATGTAATGAATGATCTAAAATTGTGTTTATTACATGAATATAATTTGTCCATATCCATAATATCCATAAACACTCACGCCTGTCACCCAGAGGGGTAGGCAGAGACTACAGATTTCCATTTGGCACGATCCTGACACACCTCTCTCGCCTCCTTTACATCCATACACCTACGCATACATGCTTGTAGGTTAAGGGTACTCCTAATTTGGCCCGTTTCCAATAAATCGCCAATTTGGTCGATAAATTTTCGCCTAGGACGTCCCTTTCCGACTCTGCCATTCACTTCTGCAACATAAATTTTCTTTGTCACTCTTTCCTCATTCATTCTTTCCACATGACCAAACCACCGAAGCATTCCTTTCTTAATCCTGGTCACAACATCATCTTGCAAACCACACTCTTCTCTTATTACACAATTTCTTACCCTGTCATTCAGATTCAGCCCTAACATACTCCTTAACGACCGCATTTCTACTGCGTTTATTCTACTCTCGTGCTTCTTCTGCCACACCCAACTTTCACTACCATACGTTAAAGTAGGGACCAACACAGCATTGTGAATTGCCATACGTGCCTTTTTCGACACATTTTGACTCTTCACAATAGAGTGCAAGGCCCCATTTACTCTATTTCCCGCATTCACTCGTCGTTCTATATCCTTATCATATCTACCATCCCTGCTAAATACGCAGCCCATATATACAAACTCATCTACTTGCTCGATCAACTCCCCTTCTATTCTTATTTCACAAATCGTTTTACTTTCTTCTCTTTCAAAAACCATAACCTTCGTCTTACTTGCGTTCACTTTCATACCCCTTGTAATTTGTATGTACTGTCATACATTTTTTATATAAGAAATGTGACAAACGAGCACACAGTCCACCCGAAGGTAAGTGAATGTTGTGACCCATAGACATCTACGGCTATCTCTGATTAGAAATTTAGAATTAAGTTATCACTATTGAGGACTAAGATGAAATGCCTCGTTTCCAGTAAAAAGAGTCCTTGGTTACACTCACCGTACGAAACACAGCAGCATTGAGCTACTATTTTACAATAATATTAAGTGAGATCGTGGCCCTTCCGCGACCGAGCCGAGCGTTTTGTTCTCGAACCATACTATAGCAGCAGCATGTATATTATTTTGCATGGTTTATGGCTAAATAGAAAAGAGCCTAATATATAATATTATAAAATACATTTGTTAACACCTGTATTCGCAAATAAAGATTTGATTGATTGATTGCCTTTTTTGGGTTGTCACCGTCACGCTGCACCGGCGCCTGATAACGGCGTTTACATGTCCTCGAAACACACTCTCCTCTGCCATGCAGTTTCCTCAAAATGGTTGCCTTTACCACCAAAAGCCTAAAAGTTGCTTGCGTTATGTGTAATTTACGGCAAGTGCCTTAGCCTCTGCGCCACTATGGCTCTCTTATTGAACCAACTTCCGTCAAAAAACGACAATGATCTTAAAAACTACCAAAACTAAATACTTAGATCAAAGAAGCGAGCAGCATCAGAAGTCACAAGAAATTTGATACAGCGTTTCAGAGTTTACCTGCCAACTAGAAAATACTCTGAATATTAATATTTGAGCAAAATTTCTCTGATACAAGGTCGAGAGGCTGGTCGAAGACGCAACATTAACAGGCAAAGCAGCGGCTTCGGAAACCACTATCCCTCGTGACGACTACAAAGAGAAGGTCTTCATGGAAAAGTTGTTATATTTGGACGAAAACCACTCTCAGAGATTCAGGCACGTTAATTCTACATCAATATTCTACACTACACGTCTAGTGATTGTAGTAGTGCGACTGCTGATCGTGAGGTCCTGGGTTCGAATCCCTGGTCGGGCCAAAAAAATCAGTTTATAAAGTTTTTCCGTCAAGAAATTCTCAATAGCTGCCCGGAGTCAGGAAAGTTGGCGGTGTCTCACCCCCGTGCCTCGGAAAGCACGTAAAGCGGTTGGACCTGCGCGTGATCTTACTCCGGTTGTGTCGGTTTACCGTCCCATCGGATTATGAGAGTGAGGGAATAGAGAGTGCACCTTTTTATAGAAGAGGAAGCAAACGAGCATACGGTTCACCTGATGTTCAGTGACTACCGCCGCCCATGGACAACTGCAACACCAGCGGAATTGCAGGTGCGTTGCCTGCCCTTTAGAAAGGAGTAGGTTCTTTTCTTGAAGGTCCCTAGGTCGTATCGGTCCGGAGAAATAGCCGGTGGTAAACTATTTCACAGAGAGGTCGTACGCGGAAGAAAACTTGTGAAACGTACAGTGGTGGACTGTCAAGCAATCAGATGGTGTTGAGTGTATCGGTAGGTTTTCTGCGTTGTGCATTCTTGAAATTTGGCGGCTGGGATTAATCCGAACAATTCCTCAGAGCACTCCCCATGGTATATGCGAAAGAAAATGCAAAGAGATGCAACATCTCTTCGCAGCGACAGTGAATCGAGCCGATCCGAAAGCACTCGGTCGTCGACGTCAACGCACCTGTGTTTGCACATACACTTGAGTACTTTAATCCTGTTCTGCGCGGTTAACTAGTCTCCGTTGAGGCTGACCGCCGTAACCGTAATTCGGTCTGGAGGACATTAATATTCTACACTAGGCACCTGCTCGACTTCACTCCGGGTGGGAAAAGGCGGTATTTAAATTTAAGATAAGCATCAAAGACTATTTTTTATCTGTTTTATAAAAATATTTATTAAAAAATATATAGCTTAGAATAGAATAGTATAGTATAGAATCATTTTTATTCAATATAGATTACATGTAAATCTAATTGGAAGTAATTTTTTACTTTTACCACTCCATCACATAGATCCCATAAATCACATAGATCTCTCCGGGCATTGACGTCTCTCTGTTCGTGAAGATTCACGATCGGTTCAGCCATTCTGAAGATTAGCACGGACCGACAGACAGTAACACAGACAAAAAATGGTTACTGATGTCTAGTTGCATGCAAATAACCGCCCCAGCACCAATAAAAGGCAATCATTTCGATATTACAGCGGTAGACAGTTCAATTTTATTTACCTATCTATAGATAAATGTTCCATAATAACAAAAACGATGAGATTTTTTTTTTAATATTCTAAACTTATTTTTTACACTACTGATTTTTTAATTGTTAGTCCTTAGTATATTTTGTATCGTTTTTGATCTACTTTCCTCCAACGAGTTCATTTGTTTTACATACTTTAATTTTGAGGATATAAGTACTTCGATACACTTCAAAAACCTCGATTTTCACTTCCAACAGAAACAAATAACAAGGGTAAGCGTGGTGGTTTTTGCAGTAATTTACAATAATTTGCCGATTAGCATAATTTTTTGATATTTATTTGAAGTATTTTTTTTTCTTTAAAGTTACGAGTATCTGAACAAATATTTTAAAAATTTTGTAATGTAAACTATAGACAATATTGTTGCCCTCCGAATGAGTTAATTTTTGTCTCAGTAAAACCAAAACTTTGAGATATGAATTTTTTTGTAAACACGTAGAGAATATCTCAAGAAAAAAAAAACAAAATGGCTGCCACATAGAGGGGAGGGAATTAGACCTCAGTGTGTAGTGTATTTTTGAATTAAAATAGCTGTATTTTAAGTACTTATAGAATATCGCTGGTATAAGTGTGTATATATATATCGGACACACTATATATACGTAATATACAGTTTGCTTGTCAAATTATTATATTTTTAATAATTATTTTTAAAGTGTACAATAAAAGAATAAAAATGAGAGGATATCAGATTATCCTCGAAATATTTCTTTGATTCTTAGATTTACAGGTTTACTCTTGATGCTTTAAGCATCTAGTACTTACATGCATAAACAACTGCTAAATTGAAAATAACAATTTCAAACTGGCGTCACCGGTTCGAAACCTGGGCACAAATTTTTGACACCAACATTTCATTATCGTCATCGACTAAAATGTATGGAAATATGAACAGTGCACCTGGCGGACGTGAATTGAACTCGGTTTTTGATCGGTTGCATACATTTGATACGACAGAAAAATCATGCTCAAAGAGTACAAAGGCCTTGCTCAACTATGTACCACGACAAAAAAATAACTTACGACAACTGGTGTCATAAAAATACGACATAAGTATGCGTACTTAAATATATTTAGTAGGAATACCTAGATGGTCAGAGTAACCTTTTTTGCAATACTTAAATAATGAATATTACCATAAGAGACAAAAGATTCTTTTCAATACTCTTTACTGAACTATTGTATTATAATGTCATAACAATAATTAATTTAGCCGCATTCGCGTTAGCACCCTCTTGTATAAAAATATATTATAATATTGTGTATTGTTGTTTTCACAGAATAGTATGATTATTACGATTTCTGTGGTAGTTTCCAAGAATTTAACAAATTCTGCTAATTTACTATTAAAACAAATAAAAAAACTATTTGAATTGTATTACTATCTTAACCTTGGCATATAAACTTGTTTTAAGTTTTATTAATTATTATACCTAGTAAAATGTTAAAAATCATACGTCATGCAAAGGTATAACAAGTTTTATTCTATATTTGATAGTAAATTTAATAAATAACATATTAGTCACGCAAAATAAATCACTTCTATCCTTTTTATATTATTGAGGTACCTAAGTAATTTAATATTGCCAATTCTATGTAAATCTTAACTCAGTCATTTACCCAGTCTTCTGTCCCGCCAACAGACCTTTACCTCTTGCTATCAATTATTCACAAAAATAAAGTAAATATCATAAGGACACAATCTGCTTATGTAAAATTTATTAAGGTATGTTTAATAAATTCCTCTTGTAACGTTATAAAATTTACATTTATACATTTTTAACATAAATTACATATGGGCAAACATCCAGGACCGAAACGACCTTGGAGGCTCTTCAGCAAGTACAAAAAGTTGTTATATCTCTCCCTCTGTTGTAATCTCGTCCGAAATGTATGTAGCGGAAATTATATGATAATAAGTAAAAAGACACCTAACCAGTGGGCTCACTTTCCTGATGGGTAGTATTCCTAGGTAGAAGACCCTACCTAAGTATGGACATCAAATTACTACATCCCAAATGTGTATATAAATTTTTCATTTCTAGATTCACTGAAGTACCTACTAAATATAGTATAATTTTATTTATAATAATTACATTAAAATATACAGGTTGTATAGTACAGTACAAGATAACATTAAACGTGCTTAATACAAAACGTAATAAAATTCGTAAATTATCTCGAGGATGTCGTTGTAATGAGTCTGCTTTCCGAAAGTTCAAATTTTATTTTTTTAACAAATTCTGTGTTTTGAGAGAGTTTGATTTGTTATTTTTTAAGGGATGTTAGTCCTATAATGAGGAGAGGGGGTTAATTTTTAGCTTGACTGCAAAATTATGGGTTAAATGTTAAAACAATTAAAGGTGTGATGCCATATCTTTTTATAGCAATATCTGAAAATAACGATACACAAATTTTTCGGTACAGAAAATTATTTTTAGCGATACCTAATTTTCAACTTATAGGTTTTCTTCCTCTTGTGGTTTAAAATTACCTCAGTTTGCAATTAGTTTCTTAGAACTTCATAATGGTTATTGACAAAACAACAAATACTGTTGCTTACACAAACATTATTTTTACAAATAATGAATACAAATATTTTTGGTTACCGATATAATTTTGGTTATGTAAAGTTTATACAGAGGTACTCGTATAACGATACCCCTAAAATAGCGTTACCGTTATTTTATACCAGTGGCGTATCGGTGAATTTTAACCGCTTTCGGTCTTTCTTTTAACAATAGCGTAACCTCATACCTTAATCACAATCAAGTCCCTGATTTCAAGTAGTTTTCGTATGCAGGGTGAAGGCAACCACGGACTGCAGTAACCACTTACCATCAGCCAGTGGAATGTAAGCTCATTTTATGAAAAAAACTTCATACAAATTCTATTCGCCTATGTTCCTATGTTATGTATGTATGTTATGTATGGTATGTGATAGGAGACCTCCTGCAAATGTCCTTTCTTGGAGCTGAACAAAGAATTTGTGGGGTTTAGAAAATTAATATTCTCTAGCCAAACTACTTTTATTTATGTTATAAAAAGTATTACTTTCTTTTGTTCGTAAAACTTGTTTTTGTTCCAAATACCATTAGGCAAATATAACTGCTATTGTTTTAGATGATGTGTTCTCCTATAATTGGTAGTACATGTTATTTATAGATGTAAAGAGTTGAGTATTATCAACTGTTGGAGATCCATTTTTTGGCCTATGTTCAGGCCTATGTTCAGCAGTGGACTTGTGAAGGGCTGTAATGATGATGATGAAGAATGCTATTCGACGCGCAATTATATAATAATGAACCCCTGATTATATTTATGTTAAAATCGATTATAGTATTTTTTTTATAAAAAAAAGAATTACAATTAGCCATCGAATGGAAAAGATAGTAAGAGCAGATCAAACAGCACCCATATATCTTTTTTTTTGTGAGAATTATCTTAGTTATCACATTATTCTATAAAAAAAAGATATTTTTACGAGTATAATTTCTAAAACAGGCTAACAGTAGAAGACTTAAACGAAACGGCGGCGAGAATAGAACTACGAACAGCAAACATGGTATGTGTGGAGCCAGTTTGTGCCGAGTGCAAGCAGAGAGTCATCGATTGCTACGACAGTGGGCCTCACACTGAGTCGCTCGTGTGCTGGGACGCTGTTGGTGAGTACGGACAAACGTAATAAATTCTAAAATATGCAATAATACAGACGTCTTTCTATTTACGGCATTTTTCAGTATTTACTTGATGTTATAGCTGCGCATTATGCATATCTAACCTAGTGCTAAAGGAGGGTATCTTCTCTCTTAGTGAAACTAAGAAAAGAGATTATTCAGCTAAGAGAAACCCTAATACAATCTTATGTCCTAAGCATTGAGTGCAAGAAAATAAAATCGTATTCATTTTTTTGTTTGCTAAACTTTCAAAGTTGGAATATTCTCCGCCGTTGATATAAATTGCATTTGAACCAAACCAATACTTAGAATTATTATTTGTAGGCCATGCAACGTGTACGGAGCAAAAAGCTCCGTTAGGAAATCATGCACGTGACCCCATGGTCGCACCAATGCCTAGTTTCTGTAATTATAAAACGTTTTGTTTACCCTTAGTAGCCGTTCTTAAATGCAGAAAGTGTACGAAAAAAAAAAACATTTATATACATACTGACTTAACAACATACGACTAAGAGTTGTATCAATTATGCCGTCGCGTCTTGTAGCTACGCGCGTTGTTTTAATAAAAACTGTTTGACTACCACTTCGGATACAATAAAACGAATCGTTATAAATAACGAAACTTTTCTTAAATATAGAATTCAGGCATTATGATGGCAGTAAGTGTGGTGGCATTATTTCATGGAAATCTTGTCGGTTAAAAATCTGATCGAAAGACTACCTTCTAAAGCTTGAATGTTTTTTTTTTCAATAAAGGTGCGTTCACAAAGTGCGTGCAAACGGCTGCGGCAAAGCGACTACACGCACGGACTCAGCGCGACGCACGCGAGCACGCGCGCCGTGAACGTCACGTCGCACACGCCCGTGAACATGCGCTAAAAGATCTCACACCGCCCGCGCCCCAGGAAACTACTGCCTAACTTGAACGCATTTAATAATTACCTATATATGTTATATGACAGTATAGGTACCTATTATATAAAATTAAATAAACAATATTTAAAAAATCCTACGTCGAATATTTATTATAGCTTTTTACCTATTTGTCTCGAAATTTAAGAAATATTTCTCAAGAAATAAATATGACAAAAAATTGTAAAATATTTCATTGTTTGATATGGTAGACGACCGTTTTTTTTTATTAGATGTAATATATACTTATTACACCTAATCACCGGTAGAGGAAGTGTACCCCCCACTAGATGGAGTGACGACCTGGTAAGACATGCAGGAAGTCGATGGATGCAGGTGGCTCAGGACCGTGCTTTGTTGCATACCTTGGGGGAGGCCTATGTTCAGCAGTGGACTTGTAAAGGGCTGTAATGATGATGATGACACCTAATCAAAAAAAACAGTGTAATTTTTGACCTCCTATTCTAATTAATTTGAAATGGTGGACAGAACTCAACAAGGCTTACCTATTCGAACATTATTTATTTGTATCAAACAGACGTCTAGGCGTAAGAATGTCGCGCATTTGCTTTTTATTTTTTTCTCTAGGATGACACAAAAAATTTTACGTTGGGTATCATAGTAGCAACTACAGCCAGTGTTCGGCGACTCGATCGTTTACTAAAATGGGGTTCACATGAACTTTCATCTCGACCTTACTCAAAACAGGATATCCGTAATTGCTTCGATGTTTTCCAAAACGTTACATCATTGTGCTTATCTGATGCATACTAATGCCATGAAGTAGGTAACCTACCAATTGTACAACAGGCAATGACTAATGCCATAATATATATACTATTAAGCGCAAAATGCACATAAATTATTTATATATTTTTAAGTTAACGCTAACATGAGTGAACCGGGAAGCTCTGTCTATATGAGTATATATGCGGTGAAGCACTATCCGTGTCCTTTTCTTTTTTTTTTATACAATAAGGGTGACAAACGACCAAACAGTACAGCTGATGGTAAGTCGATACTATGGCCCATAGACATCTACATCTACCCTCGATTAATAAACGAAATGCTGATGAGTTGTTACCCCTGAGAACTAATATAGAGTGCCTCATTTCCAGTAAAAAGAGTATCTTTGCTTCAATTACCCAAGCTGAAAGTCTGGTATGAGTTTGATGAACTCGTACATGAGCAGGGCCTGCTTCACCCACAAGCTAACCAGGCTGGAGCCTACGCCGGCGCACGGTTGGAGGGGGCGCTGAGCTTGCCTCTGCAAGCATCACTTATGTACAGAATAAAATATTGGTATAATATTCTCAATATAGAGTAAGTTCCGCAAGTATTTTACTTGTTGCTCTTTCTTTATTTTTGGTATAAAGCAAATAAATTGATAGTTTTAAACTGCTCAAACTCTCATAATGATTTCTTAAATTTACGCGAACACTACACATTGAATAAAACTAAATTTACGGATTTTATCGCGTTTATTTCACTACTTTTACTTATTTTTTTTTTTGATTGTGAATGTGGTCTCTCTTACATAGGTCAGAAACAAAAGGATCCATAAAAACCCGCGTGAAAGAACATATAGCTGACGTGAAGCGCCGATGCTCCGGGAAGTCTGCAGTCTGAGAACATGTTCAAGATCGTCCCCACCATTACATCAGATTTGATAAACCACAAGTCCTCGCAAAAGAACACCGATTCCTACCAAGGATGATACGCGAGGCTATTGAAATTAAAAAACATCCTAATTTCGATAGAGAAGATGGTTGGGTGCTGCCATCTGCTTGGGATCCTATAATTAACAAAATGAAACCCAAACCCAAGCATACCACTGCAAGACTTCAAGATACTGTAAGTTCGTTTTGCGTAAATCGGACCAAAAATTAATATTCAAAAACTGAAGGTAGCCGGGCTAACAATGACATTAGGACGTCAAACATCTCAGTCCCCCCCCGTGACCATGGTTGCTGTAAAGCACCCGAAACGTCGGGAATTAAAAATAAGTAAAAGTAGTGAAATAAACGCGATAAAATCCGTAAATTTAGTTTTATTCAATGCTCAAACTCTCTTTTCTACCTCTAATTGTATTAAGGTGTTTTGTAAAATTTATCAATTATAAAATATATAAAAATAATATAAGAATCAATTATAAATTTAATTAAATAACTTTATAATGATAATTTTTATAATGAAATACTACTTTTTGTATTTTACGCTAGATGGCACTGTCTTGAAAAACTGAATACAACAATAATATCGTAGATTGTCGACGTAGTTCAATTTATTACACAACGGTTAAAACTAATTTTGGGCTTTATTTATAAATATCTTATTTATTTTAATAAAACACATCAATCGTATAAAATAGAAATTAACAACCAACGAAGGATAATACTTAACCCTCCTTTTTTGAAGTTTTGTAATCGGATAAAAAGTAGCCTATAAGTAGCCCCGGGGCCCCTTACTACCTATACCTACACAAAATTTCATGGAAATCTGTTCATCTGACAAAAATTCTAAAAACCACTAATTTGTCTTCAGTGCCCTTTATTTAGTCCCCTGGAATTTTTTTTTGCCAAAAAATATTAGAATTACAGACACGACTTTTCTACAGATTTATTATATGTATAGATTTTAAAATTCTAATGTACCTACATTTTTTAGTTTTTGTTATTTCATTTTAGTAGATATAAATAAATTTTGTAGTAACTAATTACTACTTAAATAGATAGTAGTGACATCTATCGAAAATCATAAAATTAAGGATAATATATCCAAGTTTAATTTCTAATCTATAAAAAGTTTTAGTAGGTAGGTATTAGTTTTTTTTATCTATAAATAAGCTGATAAAAATTGCAATTAGTATGTACAAAACTCTTATTATTCTTATAGTTTAAAAAGAGATTTATATATGTATTGGTCAGATCTAAGAATTTATAGTATCATAAATTAAACGATTATTGAAAGTGAAATGACGGTATTTCATAAAGTTTAACAGTGTTTGTTGACTATATCATGATATAACTTGACCAAATCAATGTACATCGTTTGGCGATATTAACAACTAAACACGACGTTGCTAATTCTAGATGTTATTGTTAAATCGTAAAATAATTTCATTACACACCGCTAGCGGCGCTATATTTGATAAAAGCAAAATGTATGTATTATATAAATGTTAGCGTCTTTGTTGTGCGATAGAGCCACTCCAGTCGCACCTCTACTTGAGTCTGAGTACTAGAGAGTAAAGTTTTGGTTGTCACAATTTTAATATAATAATAGTGCCATCTAATAAACTAATAATAAGTACATAACTGGTCAAATTAAACACAATTCTATTAAATATGTGTATGTACTTATTGTTGAAGCATCAAAAATTGTCAGACCAGTATAGACCTGTGGCCACCATCTGCATGTTTTATCATATTTGTCAATTTTAGCAAAATTACTAACAAAACTGTGTACACAAAACTTTGATTAAGAGAGGTCTTTAGTTGAATATGTTATATAATATTTCACCAATTTCTTTTTGTATTGTCATTTTGTATACGAACTAAACGAATAAGACATTATAAGAAATTAAAAATTACATAATTTAGACCGGGAGCTGCTGACAGGTGACGTTCCACGATTTTGTCGTGCATGCCTTTTTAAAGCTTGATAACTAACCCTAAAATATCAAAGATTGTCGGGGCTCTAGCCCCCCCCCCCCCCCGCGCGTCCTCTTCATGCTTTTCTTTGTGTAGCGAATTTTCGTGTTTTCCGTGATAGTATACTGCATGCCCTTGTAATATACGGAAGTTTAAGCAAATTGAAGCTCTAACAATTGTTGGCATGCACCCCGCAGCGGCCCAAGATGATCAAAGGGTTTTGAAGTCCTGAAAAAAATTAAAGGGTAATTCCGTGTTTTCAAATTGCATGCCGACGTAAAGAATGGAAGTTTTTGTAATAAAAACGCTCTGAAAAAATTGGCATGCACCCCTCGTATGAACATGGCATGCAGTTTGGAATCACGCAAAATCGGAGTTCAATTTTTACAGAGTTTCCCGGAAATTTTCCACCGTTGGTCATACGAGGGGTGCATGACAATTTTTCCAGAGTGTTTTTATTACAAAAACTTCCATTCTTTACATCGGCATGCAATTTGAAAACACGGAATTGCCCTTTTTTTTCAGGTTTTCAGAACCCTTTGATCATCTTGGGCCGCTACGGGGTGCATGCCATCAATTATTAGAGCTTCAATTTGCTTGAACTTCCGTATATTACAAGGGCATGCAGTATACTATCACGGAAAAACACGAAAATTCGCTACACAAAGAAAAGCGCTTTTCCTTATGAAGAGGACGCGAGGGGGGGCTAAAACCCCGAAAATCTTTGATATTTTAGGGTTAGTTATCAAGCCTTAAAAAGGCATGCACGACAAAATCGTGGAACGTCAACTGTCACCAACTCCCGGTCTAATTGGTGGAATAGTCCATGATACCGTTGATGCAGCCTTTTTTACTTTAACTTTGAGATTTATAAAGCAGTTTGGCATATATTAAGATACCTGGCTTTCATATTTTCGGACATAACTATTAAAATTTTTGTGACAGTCCCGGTTGCATAGCTAACATGAGTAAATGAACAGGTTCTAATGAAAAAGTACTATAAATATCAAAGAAAGCAAATTTTAGAACTGCACTGATAGAATCTTGAAAGTCATCTGTATAAGCCTGTAATCAAACCGCTCTAAACGTAAATTTCTTAGTTGGTACGTAAGCAAATCAAATTAGATCCGCGCCGACTCCACTCATATTTTAACTGCACTATCCTCCATTATAAATCAAAATGCAGATGCATTGTCACCCGTGAGGACTGAGATGGAATGCCTCGTTTCCAGTAAAAAGGGTCTCTGGTTCTCAACACTCACCATGCGAAACACAGCAGCATTAAGCTACTATTTGACGCTGGTATTCTGTGAGGGCGTGGTCCTTCCCCGGTCGAGCCGACCCATTCGTGCTAC